AAACAAATTTGTAACTTGCCTTGTTGTTTTGGGTCAAAAATTTACATCTGTTTGGCTTTATTGTTTGAAGATGGATTAAATCTTTGAATGTTAGCTTTCAAATGCCATTAGAATGAGGCCAATTAGATATTTATGGACTAAGATATGGCCCAAACACTGCTCGCTAGTTAGGATCCATGTTTTCCTCCTTTTCTTTCGGTTAAGGCCCAATTTTGGCTCTCGACATTAGAATTCAGCCTTTGATTTCTCATAAGGGTTGTGGGCATGAACTCTTAGCTTTCATACAAAACAAAAATCACAGTAAAATGAGGTCTAAAGCCCAAGTCAAAACCCAAATACTAAACAATGTCAGAATATGCATTATGTTGAAATAATTGAATTAAGGCCTAATTAACACTTAAAAAGAAAAAGTAGTCCAAATCAATTCAGTTAAGCATAAAAGAAGTTATGCACAAAGATTGTCGTTAATCCTCATCAAATATGCAAAGAAATGAATGCAATACTAGGGTGTTGTCCTAGGTCGTCTCCAAGAAATTTTTGGTTGGGAACCTACATCGAACAAGTGTAAACATAGATTTTAAAGCAAGTAAATTGGGGGGAGGTTTTTCAATTTCCAGATTTTAATTAAGAGCAAAATGTAAACTAGTGAAATTCAATCAATTAAGAAGAGTAATCCCTAGTCAATCAATGAGTTTTATCCCTATTCTTTCAAATGATTCAATAATTCCCTATTTTTCCCTTGAATTAAGTTAATCTAATAAGCGAAAATTAACTTTACCATCCCAATTAAAATTAAGCATCTTAATGGGCTCCAATCTCTATCCCTAAGATTAAGCAATCTCAAAGATTAATCAAAATTAAGCAATTTTGGATTAGAATTTCGTTTGGGTAATTTAGGGTTCATTAAGCAATGTTCCCCTCATGTAAATTTCATTTCATTCAGAGATTGGAGTTAATATATCCAAGGAAAGAAAGAGTAATATTGCCATTAAACCCAAGAATTCAAGAACCATATGAGTTGACTAGGAATTACAAGAGAATTTAGCCCTCCATATGGATGGGCTTCACAAATAAAAGAAAGAAATGCAGAAACGTAAGCAACATTAATGTAAACTCAATGAGAATCAAAGGGAAATTAGAAAGTAAAACCTATAATGGACCTATGGCTGTCACCCAAGGCTCCAAAGCTCTGGAAAGAAAATGTCCTAATTTGGCAAAGAGAATGAAAGAAAATAAAATGTTCAAGTCCCCATACCCTAATTCCTAAAATCTATTTATAGTGGAGGACATGTCAGCAAAGTATCCACTTTTGCCTTTGAAAGTGTCCACTTTGGCTCTTGAGAGTGTCCACGCGCATATTTATATAAGCTTGACAATTCTCTGGAGTTGCCACTTTTCATGCTGAAAGTAGCTACTTTGGATGCGCATAGCCACTATGAAAGGCAATAGTGACCACGCGCAAACTGCTTCCTAAGTGGCATCTTGGAGCTTTCTGGAGTTGCTACTATGAAGGTTGAAAGTGGCTACTTTGGATGCGCGTAGCCACTATGAAAGACAATAGTGACCACGCGCAAACTGCTTCTCAAATGGCGTCCCTGGAGCTTTCTGGAGTTGCTACTTTGAAGGTTGAAAGTAGCTACTTTGGGACCTTTAATGCCTAGACTTGCTGTAGTTGCTACTTTTGCTCCTCAAAGTGGCTACTTTGGGGGCAACTTTCATCCAAGGGCCAAGATTTCTCAAAATTAACTTGGGGACTCTGCAAAATTATCAAGATAATTAAAATTGCAATCTATATCTATGTAATTAAATGCAAATTAACTAAAAATTAATAAACCTATGATATTTACTCAAAATGTGATTTCTATATTATATGCACTGTCTAAGTCCATTTTTTCTATCAAGGAGCACCAAAAAGGCAAGTAAAAATATAATAAAAAGTGGATTCATCAAAAACAAATATATAAATCCAATTCATTAGTGGCCTCTTCATGAAGTGCATCTCAAGAGAAGGAGAGCAAAAGCTTAGGAAAATGTATAAAGTGATATGTGGAGAAAAGGGGGCGACCTTATACAAGAGGCTACAACGATATGACATTTTCTAGCCTGAGATGAAACATATTGCAAGAAGATGCAAGTGTCGTGCTTCTCATGTCAATACCAAAAGGAAATCCAAGAGATCACGGTGGTGGATAATGACTGGAGGTTGCCCTTCATAGAATTCATGAAAGTGGGGGTATTGTCACTTGAAAAGAACAAGGTGAGCCAAGTACAAAGATGCGCAAGGAGATACTTCTATAAGAATGGGGAGCTTTACAAGACAAGTTTATAGGGGAGGTCCTTATATCTGTAGCTGATGAATCATATTATATTGACACTTTAGCATCCTTAGCACTACCTCTTTTAGGTAAGTTTTAGGTCTTTAAATGATCACTTCACCATTTTAGGTTAGTTTTATATGTTTAGTAGTAATTTTAGCTAATTCTTATATTTTAGTACTTTGACCTCTGCTAATTATTGTGGTCATTACTATTGATGTAAGTGCAATTTTTCAATGGTTTTGTTGTGTTAGAAAGCTAACTCAAAGAGTTTTGATTTAACACCTCATTGTTGGATTTGGAGTTTCAAGGTGAAATTTACAAACATTTAAAGTTGACCCTAAGATGCTGCTGTTATGTGTTCATTAGTAGTTTGTTATTTGGATTTAGGCCTAATTAGGCTTTGTGACCCATTTTACTTTTTAAACCTATTAGCTTAAGTTTAGTTTAGGGTTAGCCTCTATATAAAGAAAAGAAGTTAGAGGAATTACAAATGCTTTTTGACTTTCTTCCTTTTTACATTTTTGTTGTTTTTGATTTGTTGTTAATTTGAATTATTTCTTGTTTCTTCTTTTTCTCATTACAAATTTGTTTTAGCTTTTCCATGATAATTGTTCACGTGACTCCTAGCAAATGTACTAGATAGTTGTAACAAGTAATAAATTTCAGAAGTCTTTTGAGTCTCGAATATCGTTCTCAAGGATTAGTTCTTTCAATTACCACTTCACAAATCAATAACCATTTGAGTTAAATGAATAATGGAGAAATTTTAGATCATGTAAAATTTAAAGTAAGAAAGTGCAGCAAAATGCAAGAAATAAGCAAAATAGAACTACAAATTTAAGATTGCAAAGGTATATGGAATGAAGTTAGGGTTTACTTCACCAAATTATCAATTGCAACTTGATCATGTTTTGAACTCTTAAAGTATTTTTATTGATTGATAATCAATTTCACTTATTTAACCAAAGATCAATTCCTTAAATCAATAATCCTACTAGTCAACTTAACTACCGTAAGGTGTAAAAAAATAAATGAAAAATAAAAAAATAAATGATCATGTTCTCAATCTCTCTCTCTCTCTCTCTCTCTCCTAAGGTGTAAAAAATAAATGAAAAATAAAAAAATGACAAAAGATCTTAATAAAATTTTGAGCTTAGGAAGTATTTATAATTTTTTTTGCCTTTCTAGCATGGTCACTATTTATTAGAAAAGTAACCATGTAGAAGGCTATCTGTAAGGCTTCAGGTCTAGAACAATCACTTTTTAGGAGAAAAGTGGCCACGCTGAAGTATATCTGTTGATAAGGCTTGTGCGTTGTCACTATTTGGGCAAAAAGAAGCCACATGCAAGCTTTGCTTTTGAAATCCTCTCTAGAACAATCACTTTTCATGAGAAAAGTGATAACGTGCAGCTAGTTACACATAAATGGCAGGCACGTCGTCATTATTGGCGAGAAAAGGAGCAACGCGCATCTTCATCCCTTCATACAAGCTTGCACTTGGTTAATATTTGTGAGGAAAGTAACTACATACAGCTTTGTTCCATCTGAGTTACTCCTTTTTGTGCAAAAAGTGATAACGTGCAACTTAACTCTTCTATTCAGACTTTGGAGTGATATCTAGACTTTGCCTCACAGTGGCTGCCACACGTCAGCAGAAGGAGGAGGGTTTGCAGCAGATCTTCTTGGTCTAGCCATCCTAATATACCGACTAGCTTAGATTACTAACGTTTAACACATTTAGCAATACCACAACATAGCTATATTCATAGATTCAGCTTACAGTGATATATTCATATTTAATATATCATAACAATTTAATCAAATTAGCACTGAGCATAACATCATATCAGCATTCAAACAACATAGCAAACACACTTATCTCAGCAATCATTTACAACTTATTTTAATAACCTATTATTCACGCAGCATAACTCGCCTTATAGCTCACCCAAATATCATATACTAAAATTTCCTACATTTGTTGTGTCTGAGAACCGAGGTGATCAAGCTCGTTCCCTCGTAACCTGATGATTAGAAATTTTGATATATGCTTCATAGCTAAAACTCACATGTCTAATATGCATAACTGACGCCTAACAACCTCACCCCTTAGGTTTACCTAGACCATGCTCTAATACCACTAAAATGTCACAACCCTTTTTATAAAGAACCGAGAACATTGTTTCTACATCACATACTTATTTAAGATAGATAAATAATAGAGAATATAAGTATAAAACTCACTTCTCATTCAAAATAAAACAAAGTTTCTTACAATAAATATCTAATAGAACAACATAATATTACATTTAGTTCATAATATCAAAATACACAAAATTATACTACGTAGCTTCCTCTACATGAGGTCTCAAAATATAAGAAAAAAGGACTTTGATGCAAAATTACTCGACTTCAGCTTCTAACATTTCTCCACTGGCCCCTCAGCCTGTGAAGTAGATGCAAAACCTGCTACATCTGCTCACGTACCACCGTACGATCATCACAGTACACACGCACACAACAACATAGACAAAAATGTAAGGGTGAGCTTACAGAAAGAATAAAATGAAATCGTTTATATAGAGCAAAATATTACTCATAGCAACAGCCTCATGCATTACCAGCCCATCTAATACATAGCATGAAAAATGGTTTCCAACTGGTTTCATAGTCTAAGTAATCTAGAAGGAACCGAGCCAGTCCGCAAGTGACCCATTCCGGTATCTGGATCCAGAGAGCACAGCACAACAGCTTAGCATGAACTTACCATTACACGTCTACCTACCTAAACATGTAACTCGGCTCTATAATGATGCAAAACATATATCTCAACATGATGCAACACCGCTAAAATTGTTTTAACAACTCAACTAAGACAAGTTTATAATAGATCAGCCAAAATCTTAGCATTTTAAATCAATTAACAGTAGTTACAGCTTAGAAAATAGTTTTTATTCAAAAGATCTAACAAAATCATATCAAAACTTCTTGTAATAGCATATCAAACTGTTCAAAATATAGTTCATAGGCTAAAATAAGCTCCCCTTACCTTAGAACGGTGATTCACTCCAGATCTATCGAATATTACTTGTTTTATCACAAGATTCACCAAAGATTTGGCTTCAGAACGAAGTTTCTCCAAAGAACACCATCAACTTCTTATGAAAAAGAGAAGGAGAAGAGAAACGAACGATGAATTTAACTTCAAACTTAAATAAACTTAGTTCAAATCCTTTAGAACGGACGCAGAATCACAGATCTGGAGAGATATCTAGGTTTAGGAGGATTTAATATGAGAGAAAATGGTGGTATATGGTCTTGGAACCTTTGAGAACCTTGGATAAGAGTGAAAAAATAAAAATTTCATGTGAAGCCCCCTTTTGAAATTTACTGTTTACCGCATTATTGCTCACGGCAAAAACACTGTTCAGGACACCATTCACGCCAAAAATACTATGCACGCGTACTATACATAGACTGTACGCGTATGTGACATCACTGATGACATCATGGTACGTCACTGTTTACCGACACTATTTACTTCTTTTTTTTAAATAATTTCCAAACTCCATATAAATTTATTCCAATACCAAATAATTCTTCAATTAACATTTAACAAGTATAAAATATTATAGATTACTCAATAATATATTACAAGCCTGAAAATTCTCCTCGTGAAAATAAATTTTTGTCCTAAAAAATTTCATCCCTCAGAGAAAAGATGAGGGTACAACTCTCTCATTTTTTACTAACCGAATAGATTTGCCTCTAAGTTCCTTAACTCTAGTGTCCTCGATACGAGCAGCTGGGACCTCCACAGACAAATCATCTCGTAACTCCATAACATCAAGCTCGATTACATGAGATGAATCAGGAACATACTTCCTTAGTTGCGACACATGGAAAACATTATGTAGTCCTGACAATTGAGGTAGTTACGCTAATACATAGGTTACTGGTCCTCTACGATATAATATCTGATACAGTCCTATGAACTTAGGTGTTAACTTCTTGACTCTTAAGGCTCGTCCCACACGTGTAGTGCGTGATACTCTCAGGAATACGTGATCACCAACCTCAAATTCTAGGGATCTTTTGCGTCAATCAGCATAAGATTTCTATCGACTCTGAGTAGCTCTTAGCTTTTCTCTAATAAGTTCAACTTTTTCCTTAGTTTCTTGCAGCATTTCAGGCCTAACCATCAAATGTACTCCATCTTGGAACCAATAGATAAGGATTCTACACCTTCTGCCATACAGAGCCTCAAATGGTACCATATCTATACTCGAATAGTAGCTATTATTATAAGTGAATTCTACCAAAGAAAGCATATCCTCCTAATTACTCTTCTGCTATACAATACAAGTCTGCAATAAGTCCTCTAAGGTCTGAATAGTACGCTCAGATTGACCATCTGTCTGTGGATGATATGCAGAACTCAACCTCAACTGTGTGCCCATAGCTTCTTGGAAACTCTGCCAAAACTGGGAAGTGAATCGAGGATCCCTATCAGACATAATACTAGAAGGTACTCCGTGTAACCTGACAATCTCTCTAATGTACAATTCTGCTAATTTCTCCAAGCTAAAGGTTATGTTAATTGGCAAGAAATGTGCACTCTTGGTTAGCATATCAACTATAACCCATACGGCATCATGATTTTTAACTGTTCTAGGTAGATGGGACACAAAGTCCATAGTCACATGGTCCCACTTCCACTCTGGAATTTCCATCGTCTGCAACTCTCTTAGAGGGCTCTGGTGCTCCGCCTTTGCCTTCTAGCAAGTCAAATAAGCTTTAACAAATTCAGCTATCTCTCGCTTCATGCCTGGCCACCAAAACATCTGCTTTAGATCTTGATACATCTTGGTAACACCAGGATGAATGTTGAGATTACCCTTATATCCTTCTTCTAGAATTGCTCTTTTTAATTCAGTATCTCTAGGGACACAAACTTGATCTTGGCATCTGAGAATACCATCAGCACCTTTACTAAACCCTAAACCATCAGCATTAGTTCCTCAATCTGCTCCTTAAGCTCCATCAACTCTTTCAGCGCCATTCTATAAGGTGCTACAGACACTAGCTCAGCTCCAGGAATCAAATCTATAGAAAACTCCACCTCTCTATGTGGAGGTATTCCAGGAATATCCTCTGGGAAAATCTCAGGGAATTCCCGTACTACTAGTATTGACTAAAGGCTTTGCTCCACTTCTGCATTCATAACTCCTAACAAAACAAAACAAGATACTCCCTCACCTAAGGATGTTTCTACTTGGCGAGTAGAAATCAATTCTACACAGCCTTGCTGCTCAGGAAAGATTAAACACCTCCGGCAACAAATCAATTAGCACACGATTGGCAGCTAGCCAATCCATACCCAGGATTACATCTAACCCTGACATCGAGATACAAATAAGATTTACTTTGTACTTTCGTCCCTCAATTACTATGGGACATCTAACACAAATCGTTGAAGTCTTAATCGAACTTAAAGTAGGTGTCGATACTACCAATTCACATCCTAGATCACTCAACGGTAACCCTAAGTTTCTCACACAAATGTCTACAATAAAAGAGTGCGTGGCTCCAAAATCAAACAATACAGAAAGAGAAGTACCTGCCACTACAGCTGTCCCCTGAACGAGGTCCGTCGCCTGAGCTGCCTCTGATGCAGAAGTAGTGAACACACGTCCTTCTGCTCTTGATCTGGTTGTCGTCGGAGCCCTAGTCGCTTTAGGCCTAACAGCGTGCAAGGCGCTAGCAGAAGACGAAACTGCCCCACTAAGTGTAGGACAGTCCCTAACAAGATGCCCTGGCTGCTGGCACGAGAAGCAAACTCTGACATCAGTCTGTGGGCACTGGTTCAGGTACTGTGGCCCACCACACCTAAAACATCTGACAATCTACGGTACTGAGGCTCTAGGAGCAGAAGAAGTTGCTCCCCTAGGCTGAAATACAGAAGTAGCAGTCCCTACTGGCACCGAGGCTGATGTTGTCGATCCCCTCGAGAGAGATGGTCAAGATTGCTGTTGACGTAGCGACCGACTGTAGGGGCCCTTCTTAGCACCCTTACTTCCATTACCATAGCTACTAGCAGCTCTACTAGATGGAGCCTTCCCAACTCCACCAACATCCTCTGCATTAAGACTCTCTATAATGGTGGCTTGATCCACCAAGTCAACAAATTCCGTGATCCTGAGTGGGATCAAAATCCTCTTTATGTCAGTTCTCAGCCCGTCTGAAAACCTCTGACATCTCCACTCCTCCGAGGTTGGGTGAGAATAAAATTTGTAGAGCCGCTCAAACTATATTGCATACTCGTAGACTAATGAGTTTCCTTGCACCAAGTTTAGAAACTCCCGCTCTTTGGCAGCACGAACATGAAAAGGGAAAAACTTTCCCAGAAAACTACTTCTAAATACAGCCCAAGTGATGACTTCACCTCGGGCCTCCAGCATAGCACGTGCTCTGTGCCACCACATCTCTGCATCCCCTGTCAGCATATAAGTAGCATATAACACCTTCCACTCAATCTCCTTGATCCATAGTTCAGCAGTATCTGGTCCATCCACCCCCGTGAATTGAGGAGGATCATTCTTTTTGAACTCTGACAACCCTTGGTATTCAAGAGGAGGTGCAGCTGAGGCAGTAGCTGCTGCTGCCTGTGCTGCAGCAGCGGCTTGGTTTGTAGCTTGCTGCTACTGAATCATATCTAGACTCTGCCTCACACTGGCTGCCATGGCCTCCATGGCGTGAGCCATTTAGTTCACGTCAGCAGGAGAAGGAGGGTTTGCAGCATATCTTCTCGATCTAGCCATCCTAATATGTAGACTAGCTTAGATTACTAACGTTTAACACATTCAGCAATACCACCATATAGCTATATTCACAGATTCAGCTTACAGTGATATATTCATATTTAGTATATCATAACAATTTAATCAATTTAGCACTGAGCACAACATCATATCAGCATTTCACACAACACAGCAAACACACTTTTCTCAGCAATCATTTACAACATAGCTTAACAACCTATTATTCACGCAGCATGAATCGCCTATAGCTCACCCCAGTATCATTTACCAAAATTTCCTACATCTGTCGTGTCTGAGAACCGAGGTGATCAATCTTGTTCCCTCACAACCTGATGGTAAGAAATTATGATATATGATTCACAACAAAAATTCACATGTCTAATATGCATAACTGACGCCTAACAACCTCACCCCGTAGGTTTACCTAGACCATGCTCTGATACCACTAAAATGTCACGACCCCTTTTTGAAAGGAACCGAGAACATTGTTTCTACATCACATACTTATTTAAGATAAATAAATAATAGAGAATATAAGTATGAAATTCACTACTCATTCAAAATAAAACAAAGTTTCTTACAACAAATATCCAACAGAACAACATAATATTACATTTAGTTCATAATATTCAAAATACACAAGATTGTACTACGTAGCTCTCTCTACATGAGTCTCAAAATATAAGAAAAAAAGACTTTGATGCAATATTACTTAACTTCAGCTTCTAACATTTCTCCACTAGCCCCTCAGCCTGTGAAGTAGATGCAACACCTGCTACATCTGCTCACGTACCAACGTACGATCATCGCAGTACACACGCACACAACGACATAGAAAGAAATGCAAGGGTGAGCTTACAAAAATAAAATAAAATCATATATATAGAGCAAAATATTTCTCACAGCAATAGCCCTATGCATTTCTAGCCCATCCAATGCACAGCATGAAAATGGTTTCCAACTGGTTTCACAGCCTAAGTAATCCAGAAGGAACCGAGCTGGTCCGGGAGCGACCCATTCCGGTATCTGGATCTAGACAGCACAGCACAGCAGCTCAGCATGAACTTACCGTTACACGTCTACCCACCTAAACATGTAACTCGGCTCTATAATGATGCAAAACATATATCTCAGCATGATGTTGATGAATCCATATTTTACTAGTATTTTACAATAGTTTTTAGTGCAATTAATAAAGAAAACATGCTAGAAATAGTAGAAAACCCTTAAAAAAATAATAAAATGTTGCATGTCACTTTTAAACATAGTTATTTTAAAATTCATTGATTTTCTATGTAAAAAGTGACATTTCAAGTATGCTTTTGTAGGGAATTCTGAGCTAAGTTCATGAGGATTGGATGATCAAAGGAAAAATAGAAGAAAAATAACAAAAATTGGAGGAAAGAAGTTGATAATTCAAGAACAGCCTCTGAGTGATCACTTTTGCTGGTGAAAGTGATCATTCCAGAACCAATCACTTTTGTTGGCAAAAGTGATCGTTTCAGAGAGGTTGCAATGAGAAGAGCTTCTACGTAATCACTTTTTCTGGAAAAAAGTAAGCGTTCAAGAGAGTCCTCCAAGAAGATTAGCTGCGCGTGTTCACTATTATCCACAAAAGTGAACACGCGCAAGAAGGTAGCTTCTGCGTGTTCACTATTTCTAGCAGAAGTGAACACGCGCATGACATTAGCAAAGGAAGCTTCTGCGTGGCTACTATTTTCAACAAAAGTGAACACTCTGAAGTGCGCATGGCTACTACCACCAGCAAAAGTGAACACGCGCAAGTAGAAATGAAGAATTAGCCTCTGCTTGATTACTATTGCTGGAAAAAGTGATCACGCCAGTAGAGCGGGAATTCTATAAAAGGCAGTTAGTTCATGAATTAAAGGAGTTTTTGTTCTTTATTCATTTTCCATTTGTTTTTGTTGTTGAGAGAGTCAGAGAGAGAGATTGAGGACGAATACCAAGCTTCATTTCTTGAGGGATCAGATTGGAGATTGGCTTGAAGATGTTTCTTTTTTGTTCATTCTCTTCTTCTCTTCTCTTCTCTTCTTTTCTTTTCTCTTCTCTTTTTGTAATGTTTGCTTAAACTCTTTGTGGTTTGGAATTGTGAATCTGAAATAGAAATGTTGAATTGATTTTGGATCTGAACTTTGAGTTTTGGATTGGATTGAGTGATTGATTCTGCTGTTAAAGTAGTGATTGAATAGAAATTTGATCAACTAATCATAGACGAACTCTTATCAATGGGAATTGAATTTGTTTCTCAGATCTGAATTAATTGCCAAGGTTATTGGTTTCTTGGGGATAAGATATCTTAATCTTGCAATCTTTTGGTTTCTCAAACTTAATGCAGCATTTGATTGGATTAGATCTAAGGGATTAGAGTGATTTGATTAGATGTTAGATTTATTGAGGCAAGGGATTGTCCTTTGATTAATATAACGTGAAACTGATTGTCATTCCATCTAAATGCTTGAAAGTTCAGAACTTTATTGATTCAATGTTGAAGTTTTGGTGAAACAATTTCCTAACTACTCTTTCTACATATGTTTACTATATACTTTTGTACTAACTGTTCTGTTTTACTTTCTAATTTGTGAAGTGATAATTGAGAACTTTATTCCCTGAGGATGATACTTGGAATTCAATTTGATTCTAAGATTTTTTATAACTTGCTACAACAACACTAGTATACTTGCTAGTCAGTTTACTTTCAGTGCAATAGCAGTTGTAAAAGTAACAGATGCACACCGTTAAAATTATTTTAACAGCTCAGCTAAGGCAAGTTTAAAATAGATCAGCCAAAATCTCAGCATTCTAAATCAATTAACAACAGTTACAGCTTAGAAAATAGCTTTTATTCAATAGATCTAACAAGATCATATCAAAACATCTTGAAATAGCATATTAAACCGTTCAAAACGTAGTTCATAGGTTCAAGTAAGCTCTCCTTACCTTAGAACGATGATTCACACTAGATCTACCGAATATTACTTGTTTTATAGCAAGTTTCACCAAAGATTTGGCTTTAGAATGGAGTTTCTCCTAAGAACACCATGAACTTCTATATGAAAGAGAAGAAGAAGAGAAATAAACGGTAAATCTAGGTTTAAACTTAAAGAAACTTACTTCACATCCCTCAGAATAGACGTAGAATCTCAGATCTGGCGAGAAATCTAAGTTTAGGAGGGTTTAATATGAGAGAAAATGGTGGTATATGGCCTTAGAACCTTTGAGAACCTTGGATATGAGTAAAGGAATGAAAATTTCGTGTGAAGCCCCCTTTTTATAGAAAATTTTCAAAATTTATTGTTCACCGCCAGAATTCACTGTTCATCCTGGAAATACTATTCACTGCCTTACTGTTCATGCCGGAAACACTGTTTATCGCACTATTCATGCCAGAAACACTGTGCACGCGTACTGTACGCGTATGTGACGTCAGCCATGACGTCACTGATGACGTCAGCGGTCACTGTACATACACGATTTTTTACTGTTCATAGGTGGTTTGTACACGGTTTGCACTGTTCATAGACGGTTCTACTGTTCATTTTGACACTGTTCATATGGTACTGTTCACTTTTTTTTTAAATAATTCCAAACTCCATCTAAATCTATTCCAATACCAAATAATCCTTCAATTAACATTTAACAAGTATAAAATATTATAGATTACTTAATAATAAATCACAAGCCTAATAGATATCATCTTGACGTCATGGTTGACGTAACATACGTGTACATTACGCGTGCATGACGTCAAGATGATGTCACTAATTACGTCAGCAGTCACTCTGCATACGTGGTTTTACTGTTCATACATGGTTTGTATGCGGTTTTACTGTTCATCGACATTGATCATACGGCACTGTTCACATTTTTTTAAAATATAAATTCTATCCAAATCTATTCCAATTATACTTTAATAAATCTTATTTTATTTAAATCAAAGTGCAGGATGTTACAATTTTGGTATCAGAGCAATTCATCCAGACTAGACTGGGGTATAAGACTAACATGTCTATGTTGTAATAGATATACTAGAATATGAAATTATTATTTGCTAATATGACTTGTTAGATGTGAATTACCTGAACTAGATGTATCTATATGTATGTGAATGATAGATTAATAAGTGATTTGAGTTTATTGCAAGATTAGAGCTATGGCTGGTAGAGGTAGACATGTTGGTGCTACAAATGAACTCCTGGAGCGCATGACCCAAGTCTTAGAGACTTTGACACATAACCAGGAGGTTGAACCAACCGAGTATAGAGGACTTTCTTCTTTTACTAGGCATAACCCTCCAAAATTTGAGGGAAAGTTTAATCCTGAGGGAGCTCAGATGTGGATAGCAAATGTGGAGAAGATTTTCCATGCCATGGGATGTAAAGAAGAGTATAAGATAACTTATGCTAAATGGAGAAGTTAAGGACTGGTCGAGATTTGCTAGTCAAACTCTACTGCAAGAAGATGGTTATATTCCTTAGGAGACATTCAAGGCAAGGTTTGTGACGCCTAAAAATGGAGAGATTTTTTTTTTTTTTAAAAACAGGAGAAGCGGAAAGATAAACACATTCTTTGAACTCACATCTAGCATATCACATTTCTGCTTAGAGGTTTATGGCCTCAAAATATAACAACAATACCAAAGTAGAACAACAACAATACTCCATCATGACTGAATAACTTCATGCAATAAATAGGGAAATAGTTAGTAACAATCTCAGAGTACTACAACCTAATAAGGTAAAATGACAAAATTAAAGTGCATAAAATTAACATAGTTCAGAGATACATGGAGTGAAACAAACTGACTCCCTAAGAGCAGTTCCCTAAGAAACAACAACAGACAAACTATCCTAATCGGTCAAGAGGAGAATAATCCTCCATAGGATCAGACTCCTCAGAAGAGGTGGGGGAAGAAGACGTAGCGGTAGCAGCGGCATTCCCTTCATCACTGTCCTCTATCTAGCCAGCAGTGCTAGGGGTCG